AGTGCCAAAATGGCTTTAACTTAGGAATTCAAATTAATATAAACTACCCCTAAGGGTCCAAGGACCCAAATAATGGGATATTAGGGCCCAAATACTATAATATTTATGGTATTTGGGCCCTAAACCCCTATTATTTGGGTCCTTGGACCCTTAGGGTACCCTGCTAAGAGTTGAGGAGCCTAGCAGCAGTGCCTCAAGAACTGGGCAGGTGGCCTTTTTACAGCATGGCACGAGGTGAAGAGCTTCTCCTCAAAAGCATTGGGATTGCAAACTGTAGGCATGCTGATGCGGCAGGTTGTGAAAGGGTTGAAACCCTAAACTCTTAACCCCTAAACCGCTAAGACCCGAAGAGCTCAACCCTGAACTTTAAAGGGGCAACCCTAAACCAGCCAAGAATGATAGCAACACACCGGAGCATTGAAGCATTCCACCCTGAAGCATATGACTCACGTTAATAGTTGTTTTGGTGAGAGCAAATGATAGGGGGCCTGAAAAGGTTGGTGAGTGCGTATATGGGTGGTTGTCAAAACTATGGTCCCTTTTTGGGTACCCTAAATATGAGGTGCCGTATTATAATAGGGATCCAAAAAGGGACCATAATTTTGACAACCACCCTATATACATACATGTCAATTTGGGGGTCCATACTGGTTTAGGGTTTAGGAGTTTAGGGTTAGGGTTTAGGTTGATGGAGGAAATCTTCCACCACCTTAAGTCCCTAAAGTCCTAGGAATTACGGTAGTGTAGGGCCCCTAGGTGGTGCAAGATTTCATCCCTCAACAGTATGGTGGGACCGTAATATAAGATCATGAGTCCTGAAGCCCCTACGGTGTCTGTCCTAGCCATGGGCCCCCAAGGTGAGCCCCTAGCTGTCCCTGGGTCCTAACCATGGGCCCTTAAGAAGGCTTATAGGGCGTTATAATATATTGTATGTTAGTATATAGTCCCCCTTAAGTAGATAGAATATGGCTTTGGGTATGTTATAAAAAGGTCCCCATATACCACATATTCTATCTATTTAAGGGGGACTATATACAGTATGTATAGAAGGAGCCCAGGGTTACGGGCCCATACGAGGGGTTCATAGTTCCAACTTAGACAGTAAGAGGGTGCTGGCAAGTGCAGCCCCGGAAGCAAGGGCTCTATACACGGTTTAGGTTTTTAGTTTAGGGTTTATGGTTTAGGGGTTTTGGGTTTTGGGCTTTGGGTTATGTATATGGTCATGTTAATGATGGTTATAGGGTCCAGTTTTGCTGTTGGGTTTACCAGAAGCTTGTTTTGCCTTCGAAGGTCCAGCACTTTCACTCTGGCCTCTATCTTCGTTGTTTTGCAGCGCCCGGCTCGGCAAGCAGGTAGGCTTTACCTGAACCCCAAAAGTATGTAAAATAATTGGATTTTTATGGCTATTATTATGGGTTTAGGGCTATTGTGTCACATACTTTTGGGATTTAGGTAGCTTTTGGCCACATCAAGGTTGAGGGTCTGGGGTTCAGGGTGGGACCTCTATCTTCCCCCCACTGAACCCCAAACCAAGGGACTCAACAAGGATGGTTGTCGGCACAAAATACCCTGTTCTCATTGGTTTTGCGGGACCTCAAACCATGATCCCTACACCCTAAAGCCAAAACCTGTATAGGGGTATATAGGTAATATGGGCATTATACGGGTCAATGCGGTCCATCTGGGCCTTGCGTACTTGGACCTGTCGGGTTTGGAGACTCCACATGGGCGGTTGTCAAAATTGTGGTCCCCTTTTGGGTCCCCATTATAATACGGCACCTAATATTTAGGGTACCCAAAAAGCGACCATAATTTGGATAACCACCCACATGCACACTCACCTGGGGTTCGCAGCATCATCGGCTTACAGGTGCTAAGGTGCTTAACCCTAAGGGTCCAAGGACCCAAATACTATAGGGCTTTAGGGCCCAAATACCACTTTAGGGCCCAAATACCATTAATAATATAGTATTTGGGCTCTAAAACCCTATTATTTGGGTCCTTGGACCCTTAGGGTAAGTAAGAATGAGGGACGGGATCCTCGAACAATGCCTATAAAACCCTGTTCACGTAGCTTTGGTTGGCTGGGAATGAAGGAATGGAAAAGACAGCGGAAACGACTATCATGGTTTTATATGGATAACTATGAGGATCCATTCCTTCATTCCTATGCAACCAAAGGTAAGCTTACAGTAACGGTACCCATATCCCAACTCGCTATTCCGCAGCTCGAAGTTATTGTTTGGGGTTTTGACTCTTCAGCTCACTTTTTGGGACTGAAGTTTGAGTGCTCGGCAGGTCAGGGCTATCAAGGAACGGGTGATGCACAATGTCTTGGGAGCCGGCATTTCTCTTTGCGTCAGCAATGCAAAGCACAGATGCTCGGAGGTAAGACAAATCCCCGTGCACTTTCTTCGATGCTGTGTCGCGTTTTCCTCGAGGTGAGATTGGGCACAACACAACCCTAGGGGTCCAAGGACTCAAATCATGGGGTATTAGGGCCCAAAAACTATAATATTTATGGTATTTGGGCCTTAAACCCCTATTATTTGGGTCCTTGGACCCTTAGGGCAAGGCACCCACTCCGAGATTCTGGCTCACGTCGAACAACTGGACGAGATTCCACAGCCAAGCTTCTGCAAAGCGTTGACTTCATCTGGGTTGCGCGCAGGAGTACCGCGAGTATCCCCTAAGGGTCCATGTACCTAATAATTGGGTACTTGGGCTGGGTAATAGTAATTATAGCACAGGTTTTGGGTACATATATGACTATTAGGTACTTGGACCCTTGGGGATCATCTGCTGAGATCGAACTGCACGCATTTCGCTTAGCTTCTTTGGCATCTTACCCGAAGGGTCCAAGTACCCAATCATCATATACTTACCCAAAACCTCTATTATAATTAGTATTACCCTAAACCCAAGTACCTAATTATTGAGTAATTACATGGACCCTTAGGGTTACCCCGGCATCGCTCCATCACCAGGCCTCCAGATTCCAAGATGGGTGGCTATGGCGGTTAGGCAAGAATTATATATTATATAGGGGTTATATAGGGATCATGGAAAAGAAAATGGAAACGACTATTTAGGGTTTAGGGATTAGGGTTTAGGGTGTATAGGGTTTAGTGTTTACCTAGACCCCAAAAGTATGTAAAATGATGGCCCTAAACCCATGATAACAGCCATAAGGGCCATTATTTTACATACTTTTGGGGTCCAGGTAGGGCTTACCAATTCCAGCTTATGCACGGCGGCTGGCAACCATGGCTACCCATCTTGAGGAACAGGCGGGCCATGCACCTTTGCGAGGTTCTGCCCACCTTTATGACGGTAACCTGGGTTGCTGTTAAGGAACTTAAATTAAGTTACCATATTGGGGAAACCCTATTATCTACTATATATACCCATTATGGTAACTTAATTAAACCCTAAACCCTATAAGCCCTAAACCCTAAACCCTAAACCCATTATGGTAACTTAATTGAAGTTCCTTAACAGCAACCCAGTAACCTGTTGTCAGGTTCTTGGAGACGTCTTTGGATCGCCCGTGGCTGTATCCTCATCAGCACACCTAATCCAGAAGCCCGAACCCATACCCCTGGGCGGATCTAGAAAGTAGAACCCCCTTAAGGGTTCCTAGGAATTACCCAATAGTAGTATAGGGTACCTAATTGGGGGTTCTACTTTCTAGATCCTCCCAGGGGTCTGGGAAATTCTTCCAATCATGAAACGCTGAAACCTGAGCCCTTACACTTAGATTTAGGGGTTTAGGGTTTGTGTCGACTTGACCCGACTCCCTAATCTCAATTCGACCCTGTCAATGGTGACATATACAGAACGAGAGCCAGCTTCAGGCTTCAGCCTTGAGGGTTTTTGGGGTGTATGGTTTAGGGTTTAGGGCTTCAAGGTTTTTGGGTGTATGGTTTAGGGTCTGGGAAGTATGGGTTAATGTTTAGGGGTTGGGGTTGCGGGCGTGGGTCCATATTTAGGGTTCAGGGATTCGGGTTTATGGCTTGGATGCAGGGATCAGTGCCAAGGATTTATGGATTACATAGGGTTTTGCCCTAAACCCTAAATCCCCAAACCCTCAAGCCCTAAACCCTTAACCCCTAAACCCTAAACCCTATAACCCGGATTGATTAGGGTTTAGGGCTTGGGGTGTGGGATCGAGGTTGGACCAGGTTTGCATAATCGTTGCCTGTGGGCTTTAGGGAACCCTAAGGGTGCAAGTCCCCAATAATCATATACTTACCCAAAACCTGTACTACAATTCCCAGTACCCAAAATCCCAAGTACCCAATTATTGAGTACATGGACCTTTAGGGGAATAAGCCCAGCAACCTCGTAGAAATCGACAACCCCAATCGAGCACGATGAATATGAGAAGCGATGTATACATGTATAATCAAGGGAGTGGGCAGGTCTGTTAGGGGAAGGGGACGATAACCTAGAAATCTCCGGGGGTCAAGAGCACGATAAATGAGCATTCACCTTTCCTGCGCATTGCGGACCTCCCAATTACAGTATGAGGTTACAACGTTGTCCCACCAACTCCCCGAAACTCTCATAACACTGGAAACCTTGTAAATCCAAGTTATCCGAAACCCTGTAAGCCCTAATTATGCTATGAATCCTACGGGCTCTAAAATCAAGGACCTTATAACACCTTTGCACTGTAACATTTAGGCCGTTTTAACAACCCCAAAGCACAAAGCCTTTCAGTCCCTTCATGCCACCCCAAATGGGCACCTCTTACGAGGACGGTGGTCCATGACGGGACCCCTTTTCAAATTCTTTATCTGTAGGTTGGAGCGCAGGAGATACTTTGAATGGGGTTTGGTTGTGCTGGTATTCACATCGACCTCATAATAAGCCCCCCGTAATCGTAAACATTCACTGCAGAATTTATCGGGAGGGGGGGTATCACGTTAGAGGCAGGAGGGATCAGCAGCAATAGCACAAATCTGCTCCTGACTTGACAGCAGCCAAGGTATGGTATGAAGTTCCAGACATTTCAAGAGGAGATGTGGTGGAAAGGCTCTTTGATAGGCCGGCAATCGGGGGGGTTGACGTGTCAACTCCACATTGAAGCTTGCGTAACAGGAAGCCTTGCTTCCATGCTCTTGGCACTTGTTGCCTCCAAGGTTTCAAACGTTTATTCTAGCCATTCAAGCACCGATCGCACTATCAACCTAAACATTTGTCCCTATACCGTACTGTGAAGCCTGAATAGACACCAACATTATTCCCTTATAACCTCCGTGTCAGTCAAGTATACACTACTCGGAATTCTTTCTTGGAGTACGTACTAGTATAGCTTTGGTATATTGGGATAGATAAGGGCCTCCCATTGATGAAACATGATTTTCTAGCATGTGGGCAACAAGGCAGGGCAAGGTGCACCCTCGTCAAAATCTCTGCAGAAGTGGTGAAGGCAGTTTTCTGTAGGTGGTGATTCACCTTCATTCTACACTGCTCTTTAGAGCACGCCAGACATTCAAAACTGCACAAGGTGGCTTGGCATCAAATAGCACGTGTCCGCGTAGATCAGATGGCAAGCGCGAGAGGACAATATGCCAGTGCCAATACATGCCGCAAACGAGAATATCCAAAGAACTTCGTTGCATGGTACTCAAGTGGGACCAGTTTGATTTCTTTGTATTTCACCTAGACTCTAGACTCCCAAAAGATATCCTTTTTCGAGAAACCCTCGGAAAAAGCCCAGGGGAAGCTTGACCAGAGGGGCCTCCAAGTTAAACATTGGACTATAACTTGGAGAAATATGGTTATAATTCCATAAGTTGTAGTTGTAGGACTTACAAGTACTGTATACTGTAGAGCTATGTAACTAGAGGGCCCTCCTGGTCCTCCTCTTCCAACAATCTCACAGGCTTCCGAGGTCCAGGCTCGTTAAGGTTTTTGTTGGGTATCTGGGCCTCCTAAAACCTAAATTGCTACAAATCGTTTCCGTTTTTTCCCACTAATCGGGAGCAGATTTCATCACTCCTTTGAAAGAGCCTAAACCCTGAACCGCTACTAAAGTTCTGGAGGCCTTGGTGTAGTCCTGGGCGTTTTGGACCTCGTGCGCGTGGTCATGATGCTGGGGGCCAAGGGCACCCAGCTCCGGGTTGCTGTTAAGGAACTTAAATTAAGGCTTTACGGTTAAAGGTTTGGGGCTGCTATCAGAAGGAAACATTATTTTTTATTATACCCATAGCATGGTAACTTCAAACCCTAAACCCTAAACCATCAAATGAGGTTCCTTAACAGCAAATCAGGATTCTTTCTGGTTGGGTCCAGGGTTCCCTGCTATTGTTGTCCTCTCAACCTATCTGGAACCCAAAAGGTGGTACAATAATAGCCCAACACCCCCTAAACATAGCCCAACAAGCCATACGTCTGCATACCTTTGGGCTTCAGGTAATGATTAATCAAGCGCCCCCATGTTTTTTTTTTTTTTTTTTTTTTTTTT